GGATATATATCCTGATTACCCTGTAACAGAAGCTTACGATGGCCCGCTTGATGCAACTTATCGCATACCAGATATGAAAGGTGAACCAATTGAACAATTGATTGCTGTGTATCACAGCGGTCGATCGTATTGAATATAATAATACGGCTAAAAATATTATGCATATGAATATTTGTATTATTTTTTACGAAATTAAATCAAATAGGTAAAAATTTATTTTATAGTCGAAAAATGTTATCGTTGAAATTTTTATACTTTTCTCTTACTGATTAATATTTTTTTAAGAATTATTATCACAAATAGAAATTATTCATGGATGATAAGCGTGATATATTATCAACTGAAATTAATGCTATATCATCAATGTTAAATGACAGAATTGGAATAAGCAAATATCAACGATGCAATGCTATAAATCAACAAAATCCTGATTTACCTGGACCAAGTATTGAACGAAAGGTTTATTTGATTTATTTAATTCTTTCAATTATTTAATGTTTTTTTTTAATTTAAATTAATTAATCATATATTTTCATTTTTCTTCTTCTATAATATGAATTTAATAATATGATATAATATTTAATCAAATATATATCATATTATAACTCAATAATCATATATCTTCTTCTTAATAATTAATAGGAAATGTTTAATTTTATTTATTTATTGAAGTTTTCTAAATTTTAAAATTAATTTATAATTTATAGTTTTCTAAATCTCCAATTTAATTTAATTAATTTTTTTCTCACAAAGACTAACTTAATTTCTTTTCGTCAAAATTAAAAAAATTTTGTTTTCAATTAAACAAAAATTATTGCAATTCCTTTTTAAATTAATATATAATTAATTATACTTAAACAAAAGTTATTGCAATTCCTTTTTAAGTTAATATAATTATATATAGAAATTATTGCAATTCCTTTTTAAGTTATTATGTAATTAATTATGCATAAACAAAAATTATTGCAATTCCTTTTTAAGTTAATATAATTATATATAGAAATTATTGCAATTCCTTTTTAAGTTAATACAATTATACATAGAAATTATGGCAATTCCATTTTAAGCTATTATATGATTAATTATACATAAACAAAAATTATTGCAATTCCTTTTTTAAGTTAACATATAATTATAAATAATGTTTTTATATTAAATTCATTTTAAACTAAAATTTTAAGATGAGATTTTTCTCGACAAATAAAGCAAAGAAAATGGAACAAAATGAAAGACGACTTAAATTTATCAGTGCATATGGTAGCCTAACGATACGAAGTTTTGAAACAGGCGAATTATCTGATGTAGAAGTTACGATGAAACCATTTAAAGATCGTTCACGTTCAATGTCACCGTTGAAACAAATGAAAACATATTCATTTCGTTCGATGCCATCAGAAGAAGGCATTATTTCGGAAATTGTTCGTTTTATACTTTCTAAATATGAAATGATTTAAAACGAAGCACTCGCACTTCTTCAATATATTTTTGACATTATAGCTTGTACATAACCTTTGACCCTTTCAATACAAAAAAAAATTTTCCTATTTAGCTAATTAAATTTTGCAATCATTGTGTTGCATATTTATTATGTTTGTTCTTTTTATTAAAATTTAATAAAATTTTAAATTTCAATTATTTTTACTTTGCTAATTATTATCTTTTTAATTTTAAATTTTAATTGCTTTTAATTCGTTAATTTTTATCTTTTCCAATTTTAAATTTTAATTGTTTTTAATTCGTTATTTTTTATCTTTATTTTATTTACTTAAAATCTTCCTGTATTATAGCAACAAGAATTAATACGACAATCATGGCATACGATAACTACAAAATTAGAATCATCTACCAAGCAAGAATTTGGATTCTACGTTTATCAACGAGTTTTCAAGCAATATCCATCAATGAAACGTGTCTTTCATGTAGAAGAATATGATTCACTTGATTCAGTTCCGGAAAATCATTCCGTTTTTCGTCAAACACGATTATTCACTAATTTAATATCGCTTACGGTTTAATTTTTATCGAATTTTTTTCTTTTAATTTGTTTTCTTTAAATTATTTTTAATAATTATTTTTTATTAAAATTTAATTAACAAAATGAATTAATCAATTTTCTCTCCAATTTACTTACCTGATAATTTATTTAAAATGAATGCTATACTTATGGAATGAATATTGAAAGATAAACAATGTTCATATTTTATTATACAGGTACGTCACTTGGATGAGCTTGAAACAGAAATTGCTCCAGCATTTTTCCGCTATGGACAACGACATTACACATTAGCAGTATGGTTTATTTCAAACTTAAAAACCATTTCTAAATTACAGTATCTTTTTATTTTGTTATGTTGCTTTTGATTGCATTAATTACTAAGTTAAAGTATTGTTCCCCCTAAAATTAAACCCAAATTCAATGCTTCTTTTTACCGTAAAACTTTCTTTATACCGTATTTTATCGTTGATTATCGTAATCATCGTTGATTTCTTTTTGTTTTTTCATATAATAAGCATTAATTACCATCTATTATTTTTCCTTAAATTAATCCCAAATTCAATGTTTCTTTTACCGTAAGACTTTCTTTATACCGTATTTTATCGTTAATTATCGTAATCGTCGTTGAGTTTTTTTTTTTGTTTTTTTCATACAATAATGCTGACAGTATCTTTTTGTTAACTTATAGAAAAGAAAGCTAAGTAAACTAATTTATCGGATAAGTAAAAAAACTAATTTTACAGAGGGAATATTTTAACGAAGAATCACTGCGCTTGTTTTGTAGCCAAGTGGTATGTACGGTAGCGGATCATTCAGGAGCTGACATTAATCCGGCTTGTATAGAAGCATGGATTGAACTAATGCGTTATATTGGATGTAAGCTATTGGACGGTTTCAATTATATGCGACTAACGACCACTAAAAAACTTTGCATAAATACTAGCGATCATTTTTTTTATGTCCTGTAATAATAATAATAATAATCATATTCACAGTGATAATAGTGATAATACTAATAATGAAGATATTGCTGATAGCTGTGATAATTGGTAATGCTCATGATTATAATGATGATGATTGTTGCTGGTTAGTATTTTTCATAATAGTAATAATATTAGGAATAATATTGGTCGATCATGATGATGTTGATAATTGTGATTAATGATGATGATCGTATTTGCAAATGCTAAAGAAGATGACCAATGATGAATATTAGCAATGCTCATAATAATAATAATGATAATCATTGATGATAATGTTTTATATTCGTAGTTTGAATAATTAGTGACATAATTATGTGAGAACATATACAAATTAGATAGTAATAAATATATCACTTTGATGTTTCATTTGAGGTATGCAAGAAATTTTCATAAAATATATTTTTACAATATTTACACCTCATTTGTTAAATGCTTTTCATTTTTCGGTAAATATTATTAGATTTTATGTTGGTAATATAGGAACATGATGTTGACAGCTATTGTTGAATTAAAAACTTTTTTAGACAATGCAATAATTACATCATAGCAACCCAAAGTATTTAACAAGAATTTATCAATTCAAAACCTAAATTTGTCCTTCCATAAGTGATTACAAATTTTAATTCAATCGTAAAAGGTTTGCTATTTACCTCAACTTCTTTAATTTCGTTCAATCACATATTTTTCCTCCTTAATGGTTCATTTTTGTTTCTCTCTTTCATATTTTATTCGCACCCGAAATTTTCAACGTAATTTTTTAATAGATAGTATTTGGGTAATTATTGTTTAATAATAAAAACTGTTAATAAAAATTTGTTAACAAATTATTTATTAAATTCAGATATGTTAATTTCTTCTTCAATATAGTTCCGTTTTTTTTTCAATCTAAATATTATTAGAAATATATTAATTATTTAGAATTGCAATTATTTGCCTAAAATTCTACATCAGTTATATCATATAAATGAATAATAACTTTTTATAACAATCTTTGTTTCATTTGGTACATTTTAATCATACTTCGTGATCCAAACTTATTGCATTTAGGCCTAGGATATAGTGAAGTGAAATAAAGACGACTTTTTTTCTTTTGTGTATTTCGATGGGATGATATTGTTGTAGTTTGTGGGATGCTTTAATCAACTGGTTATTGTAGCTTTTTTGACAACCAAAGGTGGTGAAAGAAAATGGAAGTAGGGAAGAAGTTTCTCAGTCTTAGAATAATATTGATAAAACTATTTAATTCATTACATTCATACCTGTAATTCAAACTGTTTAATTCAGTACATTCATACCCCGTAATTTCGTAACTATTCATTTCATTACATTCACACTCCCTGATTTCGTAACTATTTAATTCATTACATTTATACCCCGTAATTCATATTGCGGATGATGGCTTTCAAATTTTTGCTTGAATTTTTTAAAATTTTACCGTTAATTTTAGAAAGGTATTAAATTTTCAGGGATATAAGAAATATTGAATGGCTGCTTCGTCATCAATTCAAAATTTAAACAAACCTAAAGGTGTCGGATTTTTTCTAAAAACTTAGTTTGATTTCTGTGATTTACTGTACCTCTGTTTTGAATGTAATTGAGCGTCATATGCTTGACAGCTTTGTTGATTTTCGTACGGGAAAGAGCTATAGATAGACTGGACTTTTCATTTAATAGGAATAAAACTAAAATGGATCTGATGTAACATACTTCAACTGGCATATATATTATAGCGGAATAAATCTACCACTTTCTTACACTTTTCTTTAGTCCTGATTATTTAAATGCATTCCAGTCTGCAAAAGTTTTTTGCATATTTTTTACATACATATTTATAGATGCTTTTGAGCAGCTAGAAGACGAAGAAGGTACCCGCCAAGGCTTCTGTCATATTCGCATTCAGCAGCGAACTGGCCGTAAAACTATTACAACTGTACAAGGAATTGCACCTGAATATGATTTGAAAAAGATTGTTCGATATCTAAAGAAGGTAAATTTTTTATGCTTGTGTCGTACAGTGATATGGGCATTTGTAACTTTATTACGTTATTTTAGGCTTTCTAGCTTATCAGTTAATTTAAGTGATTCTTGTTTTGAGAGACCTTGAATAGATTCTAATATTCTTTTTCGTAACATCAATAGATTTTATCATTTTGCAATTTTTCAAAACTGGTTAAATCCATATGGTTCATGTTTACTACACTCTACTACATGTTTCGCTTGCTTAAAAAATTATCGATGATTTGGGACTATTACTTTTTCGTTTTTTGGGAATTGTGTTTCATGCTGTGTGTGTTGTTATGTATACTTGATTTCTTTTTGAAGTTTGCTTTGCTGTTGCGTTTCTTCGTATACAAGTATATAAGAGACATGCAGCATCAAATGACTGAATATTGTCTGTAATTCTAAATATTTATTCCTAAAATTGTTCTCTGTGAACAAATGTGAAATATCGATCAAGGAAGAAATTTTGCAGTGAGGATCGTATACCGATGCGAAATCATGCTATCAAAATTCACTCTGCTGTACTTTTTGATTGCTCTACGCATTATGAATGTCTTTCTGGTTCGGACATATTTTGTACCAGATGAACTTTTCCAAAGTGTGGAAGTAGCTCATTGGGCTGTTTATGGTACTGGATATTTGTCCTGGGAATGGTTGGCTTCACTTCGTTCCGTTTTACATCCATTTATTATCACTATGCTCTACTTCTTAGGTCATTTGTGTAGCATCGATTCCAATTTATTCATTATCCAAACTCCTCGTTTCTTACATGCATTATTATTTGCACTGTCAGATTACTGTTATTATAAATTTGCTAGACGCATCTTATCACCTAGTGGAGCAAAATATGCTCTTTTCAGTTATTTATCATGCTGGTTTGTGTGGTATTGTGCTCCACGTACTCTTTCAAACACATTAGAAACGGTGTTGACATTGTTCGCCCTTCAATGGTATCCACTGACTAAGAATGATCTGAAACAATCCTGTTGGCCTTATATGTCTGTTGGTTTCCTAACGATTCTGATCCGGCCTACTGCTATTCTGATTTGGATTCCTTTTGGTCTTTGGCATGTTTGGCGAACCGATTCATCAAAAGTACTGTTATTTTGTACTTGTCTATCATCATGTCTTCCAGTTCTATTTCTCGTAACCATTTTGGATTCTGTTGCTTATGGAAAGCTGACATTCACAACATGGAATTTCATTCGCTTCAACGTTTTAGAAGGTGGAAGTAGTCATTTTGGGTCACATCCGTGGCATTGGTTCATATCGCAGGGATTACCTACTGTGCTGACAATACAACTGATCCCAATATTCTGGGGTATGGTGATTGCAATACGAAACCGTTCCGTTCCGTTTGTTTTCTTCTGCGTTCCCACACTGTATGTCACAATTCATAGCTTCATTGCTCATAAGGAGCACCGATTTTTATTGCCTATTATACCGTTGTTGTGCCTTTTTGCTGGTATCTTTTTTCACAGTAGGCTGCCTCATACGATGAAAAAGTGGCGTATTTTCGGGATTCGATTATTGCTTGTCATCAATGTATCTTTGGCAGCATACTTCGGTTTATTTCATCAAGTTGGTCCCTTTTCCGCAACATATTGGATTATCGAGGATGCGAAATTACGTTTTTCAAAGCAGCATGTTGAATTGATTCATTTGATGCCTTGTTTCTCCTTACCACAATATAGTTATTTTCATGGCTTAAATATAACAGTGACAGCACTTGATTGTTCTCCCGATTTTTCCCATTTTCCGGATTACGTGGATCAAGCGGATCATTTTCATGATGATCCAAATTTCTGGATTGGTGAAAATCTCGATTTAGTCAAAAAAGCCCACTATCTCGTATTCTATGAGAAAACCTACCGAAAGGTTCAATATTCAATCATTTCATTGGGTTTTACAATCTGTGCTCAGTTTTTCCATGCTCATTTCCCATCTTCTGTTCGTCAAGATCATTATATTGTGGTCGCTTGTCGGTAATGCTTTGAATATTGGATCCAAAGTATAACGCTATCAGATATCTCTCATTTTCTTAAATTCATTCAAATAGTTCTGAAGTAATGCGCCGTCGATATTTTAGATTAATGTAGTTATTTGTCAGATTAATGCGGCTGTCGTTCACATATCATTTACACAAGCTAATTTAGTTTTTTTTTAAAAAAAAATAGAAACTGACAATTTAGTTGTCAGTTTCTATTTTTATTAGCTATTCTTATTCCTTATCTGTTAACTAGCATTTCAAGATTCAAATTTGAATTACCATCCTTCTGACTCTGGGTTTTGGAACACTCCTCTCTGACAATAATTTGAAATGAAATCCTTTATTATACACTGGTTTCTTGTTTTAATAACTTATAAACGATACTTCTGACACCAGTAATTTTTTTCTACATCTTTGCTTTTCTTGTTTTTCGTCATCTGTTGAAATGATCATCGTTAATGTATTGCTTTTTTGTTTGATATAATTTCCTGAATTTTCTGTGATTATCTATTGCAATCTACAGCGGCTCTGTCAAACCTGAGAAGCTTTGATTTTGGGGTGTTTTCCGTTTTATAGGATATAAATGCTAATTTTACAATAATGCTTGTTAAAAGTTTCAAATCGTCATATGCTTTTTTCTCCTTTTTTCATTCTCCTATTTATTTCCTTAAAAATAACAGTTCAAATTCTCCAGTATTTATTGGTTGGTTGGGAAAGGGTTAAATGTGAGTAGTTGTTTTGTTACTCTAATTTGTTACTCGAATGTTAGCAAATTGTTCATGCACCATACAAATTTATATTTTATTTTGTAGCTATAAAATAAATATTTATAATCACTAGTTTTTCTTTTATGTTTTCGTGAAATTTTCGGAAAGTTTCTCTTGAGTTTCATTAATAAGTCCTGTTTATTATTAGAACTTGCGCAATAAATGTAGGACTGATTTTTCAGTTAGAATTATGATTATTATAACTAGTAAACATGATTATTATAACTAGTAAACATGTTTAAATTACTAATCTAATAAAGCTAGAATCTTAAACATTGAAAAATGTGTTAACTTGATTGAAGAGATTGCAGTTGGTATTTTAAAATAATGAGTGTAATTAAAGAAGTGCAGTATGCATACAAACTTCCTTTGGGACAAATTTTCGAGGAATTAATTAAAAAATTTCCAGGAGTATAATTGTAACGGGACTACAGTGGATCATCCGGAATATGGTGAAGTAATCCAGCTTACCGGTGATCAAAGGCAACACATTAAGGATTTTCTGTGCAGAGTTGGTATTGTCAAGGAGGAAAATTGTAAAATTCATGGTTTTTAAATTAATATGAATATGAGTAAACTTAATTTCATATTTGTGTTTCATTTCGAAATGACTTCAATGGCACAACTCAAATGATTGATCACTTCCTTTTTGATGTACTAACTGATATGATTTATTCTATCGAATTATGGTTTAACGTGAGCATCTTTATTTTTCCTTTGAATTGCTTTAATGATATTTGATTTTCAACTGAACCAACTTTATATCTAATTTACATCTATATTCATTTAAGAAATGAGTTTCATGAAAATGCGATCATTTATCGGAATGTAAATCGGTATCCCTCTTTTTTACCTAATTATTTTTATTCTTATATACGGATTTGATGTGACTATCAGAATTTTTCTATTACGACACTATAATTTCAAAAATTTAGTTTTCCAATTAAGCATCACGAAAACTTATAATCCTTGATTTTCGATATTTTGAAACTCTGAATATTTCCTAAATCCATGTATATCCATGATATTACTGATTCACACGAGTTATTTGCATTAAACCCGTTAAACTTGCAATACGATGGAAACAGGTGTATTTAAATGGAAGGAGTAGGATTAATTAAATCGAATGCATTGTTGCCTATTATATCTTCTGATTTAAATTTTTCGTATTGAAATAAACGATGCTGCTCATTGCATATTATACTAATTTACAAAACTTCAATTTGTCAATCCTATATTGATAATAGACCTTGAAAAAAAAGTTTCGGTTAATTACTTATAAAATATGTAACTTTTAGCTTTCATCTCATATTACTATTCCCCCAAAATAGAAAATTAGCAATACGTATTACAATTAGATAGTTAACGTAAGTATCAAATGATATAAAACAATGCATTATTAGTTTAAATTCCAGCATTATTGTCTAACAAATTGGGTCAAATAATTAAATATAATTTTGTCCGATATTTCATATAGTGTAAACTGTGCAAATATTTTGAATATTCAAATAGTTATTGCAACTGATAATATGATAAGGTGATAAGGAATGAAACGAAGTAAACAATCAAATGCTTCTCAAATGTTCATCAATAATTTTACATCTTTTAACTATTCTTTAAAGTAATTTCTTTTTTGATTGAATAATTTTTATACTATCATTTATTCTAAATAAATGATTCAAAACAAATACTATTTCTATTATTTTATTATCTTAATTTTTATATTACTAAAATAAATAAAAACCAGGAAATGAAAAAGGCAAATTTTATTAATATAAAATTTTTATATTACTAAAATAAATAAAAGTTAGGGAAAGAAGAAATGCAACAAGGGAAGGATAATGTTTGAATTCATTCGCAATTTCAAACAGTGTTATTAATAAATTTAAAAACGTTGTGACAGTTCAAACGTGGTAAACGTTGTGACAGTTCATTCCGTCAAGCAATAGATGTACGGAACTTTGTGATAGTTCATTCCGTTAAGCAGTAGTTATACTGAACTTCGTGATAGTTCATTCTGTTAAGCGATAGATAGATTTGCGACAGTTAATTCCGTCAAGCAATAAATGTACTAAACCTTGTGACAGTTTCATTCCGTTAAGCAGTAGATATACTGAACTTTGTGATGGTTCATTCCGTTAAGCGATAGATATACTGAACTGTGTGACAGTTCATTCCGTCAAGTAATGGATATACTGAACTTTGTGACAGTTCATTCCGTTAAGCAATAAATATGCTGAACTTTGTGACAGTTAATTCTGTCAAGCAATAGATGTACTGAACTATGTGACAGTTGATTCCGTCAAACAATAGATACCAAAAAGAAATTTGCTGAAGTAATGCTTTCTTTGAAATTTGTCTTTATCTTTTTGTTTAATATTCCTATTTCATTGTTTTATTTTATTTCATCTTTTTTAATTTGTCATTTCGACGATACATGTATTTTTACATCGAAACATTTAATATTTATCTATCCGAATTTTTCAATTTAAAAAATTCAATTAAATTTAGTTTTATGCAAATATGAAGTTTATATAATCGATTATCGCTTTCTATTTTCAGTTTAAATTTAGACAATTTTGGAAATTTTGGAAGTAAAAAATGGAATAAATTATTACTTTGAAACATTTTCTTTTGTTTTATTTTATTAATTAATTGTTATTTCTTTTTTCAAATGAATGAGAAGAATGTATTTATGGATAATTTGGCGTATTACTTAAAATATATCATTTTACTCCGCGATAATTTCTTTGTAGCTCATTTGAAAATTCAATAGATGGAATTTATTAATGTTGCAGAAGAGAGGATATGAGATAAAATAGTAATCGTATTATTTTGATTGCGATGATAATTAAGTAGGTAAGATTGTAAAATTACCTGAAACCGGAATTCATAAAATTTTATGGAATTACTATAAAATTATTAATGATAGATAATAATAAATTAAAATTATAAAGTTCTATTGAATAATAATATAATATAATATAGGTGGTGATATTAAATATTGTTATGATGATTTGATAAATGATCGAAATGTTTGCAATTATTTGTTCTCATTATTGCAGATGGTGCTACTACTACTACTACTACTACTATTATCGCCGATCAAATAGGCGATCGGCCAACGGGGTATTAATCGAGCATTTATCCCATATTTAGTATAATGGGTATTCATTGTTAGTGTTAATAATCTATTATAATTAACTTAATTTAATAAAATTAACTTAATTTAATTAGCTTTAGTGTTCTGCTACTTAATTAACTTAATTTTAATAAAACTTGTTATTCCTGTTAATGCTAACAATATGACTTCAATATTATTTCTTTTTCTTTATTTCTTCTAGTTATAATTATTATCATTAGTATTTCTATTTCAATAGCATAAACAATTATTATCATTTATTATTATCATTATTACAATTATTATCAATTATTATTATCATCATTACAATTATAAGTATTATTACAATTATTACCAATTGTTATTCTCATTACTGCAATTATTATTACTACTATTATTATCTTGATTATTATCATTACTACAATTATTATCAATTGCTATTATCATTATTACAATTATCCATTATTACCTTTTCTTTTTAATCTCTCATAACTTTCTTTTTGATAAGTAATATTTGTTAATTATATCTTCGTTTTTATCTTTAGTAATAAAATTATCATCACTATCATCATCATCATCATCATCATCATCTCTAAATCAATTTATGATTTTTTGATTAAAAATTTAATTATACAATTTGTCTGGCAAGAAAATATCATCATTATCATTATCATCATCATCATCATCATTTCTTAATCAATTTATAATTTTTTGATTAAAAATTTAATTATACGATTAAAATTTTAATTGTACCTAAAATTTTATAGTTCGTGGAAATTGCACGCAATCAATTAATCTATCATCTGTGAAAAGAAAAATATCGGTGAAATTGTACAAAGACGTGGAATGTTAGTATAATCAAATTATTTCTCAAATAAATTCTCCTCCAAAAGAAAAGGAAAAAAAGAAAGGAAGAATGCGACCTAAAATACAGGTAATTACTCTTTTTACTCATTTATTGTTTTAAAATAATTTACGTGTCGAATTAATTAATTATAATCTACAAATCGATTTGCAACAGCCACAAATAATTTTGTATTTATTTTAAATTATAAATATCATACTTTATAGAATATAAAATAATTATTGATTATTAATTATTGATTAATTTCATAAGTAAATTATTGTAAAATTATTGATTACATAAATAATAGTTGAAATTATTGATTATTGATTACATTAATATTGGTTTAAATTATTTTTATTGATTTGTTTATTTTTAATTTATTTGTTTATTTTTAATTTATTTGTTTATTTTGTTTATTTATTTGTTTATTTATAAAATTTCCTCATCTAATGAATCCATTTCAATTAAAATATATTTTATCATCAATTACTTCTTTCTATCGTAGAAAATATTTAGTTGTTAAATTTGAAATTGAAATGAAAAATTATTTTATTGCAATTTTGGAAAATCAATTTTTTGATAAAAATTTAAATTTACTTTTTTTTTCTATCAATCGAAAAAGGACAAAAAGAAAGAAATGAATAAAATCATTTATATGAGTTATTTCAAATTCATTTTTGCATTTTATTACGAGCAACTGAAAAAGATATCCCGAAAATATCATCCATTTTCCTTTTATATTGCTAGTACTATTTCTATGCTTATCTTTGAAAGAGAGTTTAATAAAGAAGAGATTTAATTTAATTTCGATTTATGGCGACGATACATACGATACATTTGAAATGTGTATAATTAATAATTCTTATCAATACAGACGATACATTTGGTATGTGTATAATTAATCTTATCAATACATACCATACATTTGATATGTGTATAATTAATAATTCTTATCAATACGTACGATACATTCCATATGTGCATAACACATACGATACATTTGATATGTGTATAATTAGGAATTTTTATCAATACATACGGTACATTCGATATGTGTATAATTAATAATTCTTATCAATACATACGATATATTTGGTGTGTGTATAATACATACGATACATTTGATATATGCACAATTAATAATTCGTATCGATACATACGATATATTCCATATGTCTATAACACATACGATACATTTGATATGTGTATAATTAATAATTCTTATCAATACATACGATATATTTGCTGTGTGTATAATACATAAGATACATTTGATATATGTACAATTATTAATTCATATCGATACATACGATACATTCCATATGTGCATAACACATACATACGGTACATTCAATATGTGTATAATACATACGATTCATTAGATATATGTGCAATTAATAATTCTTATCAATACATATGATGCATTTGATATGTGTATAACTAATAATTCTTATTAATACATACGATACATTCGATATGTGTTTAACACATACGATACATTTGATATGTGTATAATTCTTACCAATACATACGATACATTTGATATGTGCAATTAATAATTCTTATCAACACATACGATACATTTGACAGATGTATAATTAATAATTCTTATTAAAATATATAATACATATATTTTTTTTTATATATGGGTTTAGCCCCATCCTCCCTATATATTTTTGATAAGAATAATTAATTTTGACCTAAAATATATTTTCATCTTTCTTTTCTCATCTTTTCCTTCTTGGGGAATTGTTTTTTTCAATGCTAAATTTTAAATTTCATTTGTTGCAATTTGAAAAATGTTTCAAAAATTTATTTCCTCTTCGAAATACACTTATCGAAATGATCGAAAAAAAAAATGTCATACAATTTGTATTGCACGTAGAAATTTCAATTGGAAAATTTACCATAATTTTGGTAATTACATAAATTTTATTTCAACAAAAAAATAATGAGAATTTCTTCTCGAAAATTCGAAATTGAAATTTTGCAAATTTCCTTTTTTTTTTTTTTAGCAAATACTAATGAAGAAATTTTAAATTTTAAATTTCAAAAAATTATACTCAGATAATTATCATATATTTTTGTTTATACTTACATAGTCATCACTCATTTTTGTTTTCGTTATTTAATAAATAAAATCAAATTAAAATTATTTATGTTCATTTTCAAATGTTAGAGAGAGAGACAGAGAGAGAGAAATTCGAAAATTGAAAATTATACTGAAATATTTGGAAATTTTCAATAAAATTTCACATTAAATTATATAGAACATTTGGATTAAATTACGCTATTTAATATCAATTTTAAGAAATTAACCAAAATGCGAACCAATTTTGATTAATTTCTTAAATTTAATACATATATATTAGTGAGATAATTAGTATGATTAGAAGATATCATCTAATTAAACCTAATTTCATCGTTTTCATTTGATGGATATTTATATATATGTAATATATATGTTTGACCTAAAATGGATAATTTGCGAAATTTTGGTTGAAAATTTACGAAATCATAACTATCAATTAATTTTAATATTAATTAAAAATTGAATGAATTTGATAAATGTATTAAATGGATTCTAATTTTAGTATGATATTTTCATATGCAATAAGAGGATTAGAAATAAAGAAAAGAAATAGAAAGAAAAACAATTTTAATAGCGTCGTTTTGCCATTGTCATTGTCAATTGTCGTTGCTATTGTTGTTGTTGTTGTTGTTGTTGTTTTTGTTGTAGTTGTTTTTTTTGTTGTTTTTTTGTTGTTGTTTTGTTGTTGTTGTTTTGTTGTTGTTGTCGTTGTTTTTGTTGTTGTTGTTGTTGTTGTTACTGTTGTCGTTTTGGACTATTTTTTAAATTCCAAAAAATAAGTAGGCATTACTTATAAAAACAGATTTGATAAAGGAATCATGTATATAAATACTGATTAGATACATAAATGATGCTATAATATAATTAATTCATTTGCATCATTAATTTAATATTATTAAATTAGATACAGTGCTGAAATTCAGTACTAAAATATAATTTACAATACTGATCATTTATAAATACTAATAAAATGCATGTATGATACTAAAGAAATTAATTCATTTACATTGTTAATTTAATTTTATTAAATTAGACGCAATATTAAAATATATTTCATTCACATTATTAGTTTAATATTATTATATTATATCAAATACTAAATTATAATTCATTTCCATTATTAATCATGTATAAATTCAAATCAGGTATATGATACTACAATATTTACTTCATTTATATTAATTATTTATTGTTATTAAATTAGATACAATACTAAAATACAATTCATTTACATTAATCAATCATGTATAAATGCAAATTAGATACATAAATGATACTGAAATATAATAATTCATTTGCATATTAATTAATTAAATAATTATATGATTAAGTATCGCGGTTAAAAATAATCTAAATGTTTCATTTTTGTTTTTTAGATTTCTAATAAAATTAATATTACAGAATGAAAAGTTAACTTCATCAATGCAACTTATGCTTGGATTGAATGCAAATATTACCATTAATGATAATCATAATGGATATGATAAACAGAAATGTTTTACGACAGCTGATTTACAAACACATCATAAAATATCATCGAATAAAGTTATCACACAACCAGCTCTTGAGGTTTGTTTAAACTGTTTCCTCAAAATAAAATATATATATATAAATTGTTTATCAGTCTAAATATAAGGCATAATGATAATCATAATAAGTTATTATCATTAATTCTAAATATAAATCATGATCAAAATCATTATCACGTTATCATCAATCAATTCTAATTTCATTTTAAATTCCATTTCATTTAAATATTCGTCTTACAAAATATAATTGTAATACTGAGCAATTAGCTAATTAGCGCGAGGAATACTTCATACTGATTTTAATTTTTATCAATCAATTTTTTGTTATACTTTGATTTTCTATTTCTTAACTCTTTTAAGAATTGATGAATTGAAAGATCGAAAGAAATGAATATTTAATAAAATATTGATTTTTAGACTTAAAAAAATTTTAATGATAATTTCAAAATTAGCAGTTTCTCTTAATTTTACTATTTGAAGTATTTTTTCAATCATTAAAATTATCTTATCTTTTTATTAGTTTTTTATTAATTACTAGTATTATTAGCATTTTGGCCCATTGTCTTATTTTATTAGATTAAAAATTTTTTTTAGTATTTTTTGGCTATGATTTGTGATCTAAAAGTTGATCCGAAAATGCGAAGACGCCTTGGATTACGTTATACCGCGACACCTGGTTATTATATCGATTTATTTTAATTTTGATTAAATAAACTTATAGACTAAGCTAGACTATAAACTAGGGATAGCTATAAACTTTAGAAGAAATTTTAGAAGTAAAAAAATTATAAACTATCAAAATAAAGATAGATGTGTTAAAAATTTAGTATTTAAATATTGAGAATATTTCTTGCTTTTCTGCAAATTTTAATTTAATTTTTTACCTTTTATTTTTATCTTTAATTTTGCAAATATTTTAAATTAATCTTTTGATTTTTGAATTCTTTCTTTTTTTTTACAGGAAACCTAATATTGTATTAATTTTTAATTATAAGTAAACCTAATTTTATTAACTATCAATTCGTGCTTTTCTTCCTCAGTATATTATCCATTTTCGTTTGTTATTTAGAAGTGCAAAAATTGCTTCTGAAATTGAAACGAAAACAATATGTACGAAGTGAATTAGCATATATTGATGCAAATGTGATCATTACTACATTAAAGGTTATTTTTCTATAATAGTATTTTAATTTAATTCAAATTAATTCACATTCTAAATTTAAATTCATTAATGCAATCAATATCACTTTCCTGTTGAGAAGTGAAGAAAACAGGAAAATGTATTTAATACATTTGAATTATTAAGTATTAAAGAATAAAATGTTAACAAATGTTTGAGTAATTAAGTATTAAAGAATGAATTTTTAACAAATTCATATTTGAATTTGTTATAAAAAGGTTGCTTTATACATAAATTATCTATTTTTTTATTTTATGTTCTATTGTATATCGTGATTTTAATATTTTATAGTGTATATGGTGCTGTATTGTATATTATTTATGTATATTATGTTGTATATTATATATTTGTTTATTGTATAATATAAAATTATGCAATGAATATAAATTTGTTTATTGTATATAAAAATTAATTTTATTTATTGCTAGCTATTTCTTCAAATCTGTTAATCACTAAAAAACTTCAGCTATAGAATTTTAGTACTAAGAAATTTTTGTTTTAATAACAAAGTTGATATATATGAAATGTTCTTAAGTATACATCTGATTTAAATGAATTTAAAATTTTGGTAGAAATGAATTCATACATCGTTTATTGCTATAAATATGAAATAAATAAAGTTGGAAATGATAATGCTATTTATTGCTACTATTTAATTCATGTTTGTTAAAAATTTAAAAATGATAAATTAAATTTAAAAATGATAATAATAAATAATGATGAAAAATTAATAATGATAATAATAAATAATGATAATAATAAATAGTGATGAAAAACTAAAACTGATAATAATAAGTAATGATGAGAAATTAATAATGATAATGATAAATAGTGATGAAAAATTAATAATGATAATAACAAATAATGATGAAAAATTAATAATGATAATAATAAATAATGATGAAAAATTAATAATGATAATAATAAATAATGATGAAAAATTAATAATGATAATAATAACTAGTGATGAAAAATTAATAATGATAATAATAAATAATGATGAAAAATTAATAATAATAATAATAAATAATGATGAAAAATTAATAATGATAATAATAAATAATGATGAAAAATTAATAATGATAATAATAAATAATGATGAAAAATTAATAATGATAATAATAAATAATGATGAAAAATTAATAATGATAATAATAATGATGAAAATTTAAAAACGATAAAAAAAATTTAAAAAAATGATAAAATTGATAAATGATAAAAAGAAAAAATTATAGTTATATCGATTTTCTTTTTCTTTATTTCAATAGTTTTTGCTTTTATTATTATTATTTATTTTCTTTATCATATTATTAAATTTTCAGGAAATATTGAATACTTTTCCGGGTGGTATATTTGACGATGAATCAGAGGAATTTTTATCCGTTTCATTAGGATCATCACTTCAAACAGCGCTGATATATGTTAATGGGTAAAATGGATATAATTTTTTATCAAAATTAAAACTTAAACTTTTTTCTTCTTTGTTTTTCTTAATGATGAAAATTTGAAATATATAAAATAAACTTTGTAGGTACAAAAATATATAGAATAAACTCCAATAGTATATAGAATAAATGTATAATGATGATTATAATATTGAAATACGTCTAAAAAAATGTTAATTAAAATTAACAAAAATTATTTAAAAAAAATGGAAGAGTATTAATTACCATTCAATTATCAGTTATCTATTATTCTTGTAGTTCTTACCTTCAATGTTTATCATAATTCAATTTGGATGAAATCATAAAATCATATCTCGTGATAATATGTGCCAAGTATTGTAACTTTACTTATATAAAAATATTTTTAATTAATAGATAAATAACTGAACATGCAAGTATATATAGGTAAACATAAGAATTTATAGAAGTATATATGCCATTTATTGACAACTTTCTACGTAAGATAATATATATTATCTCGAGATATGATACCTCTCAAATTATTCTCATACTTAATTACGATCATTATCCTTAATGTTGATTATTTCTGATGTTACTAGTGAAAACTATTAAAACTTCTGAAAAGTTAAATTGCCAATAGTTTTATTATGTATATTTGTATAACTTATATAACTTTACTTGTATACTGATATAACTTTACTTATATAACTTCTTATGTTTACTTATATATACTTATATGTTTAGTTATTTATCTACTAATTAAAAATATTATCAATCTTTTTAATTAAAAAATTTTGTGTGTTTAGTTTAATCCTGCAATCGCCGTATTTTCTTCGTCAATTCACCTATCTGATTTGCCGATCGCTCAAAAATCTGATTCAACAATCAATCGGTTCCATAACAGATGCATACACCGGTAATGATAATAATTTTTCATCATTTACAGATAGATCATAAAATGTGGGAGCAACAATTTTTACTACTTCATAAAAATAAGAAGTTTCAAAATTTGAAAAATAGGAGGAAGCAACAATTTATTTTAAATTGAATTGCAAAATTGATTCCATCCTAAAATACTCTCGTTAATTGCAATTATTGATATAGAGCTTTCGAGAAAAACTCCCATAAGTCGGCTTTAATGTTCTTGCAAGAAACTTGCACGATCGGATGTGTTGAAAAATGAAGAAAATGCATTTTGAATTTCTATTAGTTTCTTTTTTCACATTTCAAAATGTAAATAATATCTTATGAAAATATTTTTAAGTGTCGCAAAGTACGTTATTAAATTATTTTGAAATGATTTTATTTTAAAATTTTTATTTGCAATTTATATGGTTTGAATTCTTGCGATACATCCATTAAGCAAGTCGTGTTTTGTTCTAAATTCAATTAATTATACTAAAAATCGCAATCACAATAATTAATAATAATTATTATTATTAATAATAATAAATGGTAATTTAAAATTTTCCTCTTTATTTGTCTCATTTCCAATAAAAAAATCATGGTCGCAATAATTATTAGTAATAATAATAAATAATTAATAGTAATAAATATTAACAAATAATATTAATAAATAATGATAATTAATAATAATAATAGTAATAGTAATAATAATAATAAATGGTAATTAATTGGTAATTAAAAGTTCCCTCTTTTATTTGTTTCATTTTCAATAAAAAAATCGCAATCACAATAATTGTTATTAATAATAATAATAAATGGTCATTAATTAATTATTAATTAAATATTTTCCTCTTTTATTTGTTTTATTTCCAATAAAATATATTATTAACATTAGAAGAATGTTCTAAAATACTTTGATTTATTTAAAATATTTCATTTGCAAAAAATTGATTTTCAATTAATAAGTTTTACTTGAATACATCAGTAATTAATTAATTAATTAATTACAGATGCATTGCTTTTGTTTACTCCAATACTTTTCCCAAATTCGGTTCGTGAAATAAACCGTTTCCTGCGAGCAGCCCGAATATCACTCATTCTAATTGACTTATGCGATGTTGTTTTTCGTCCATTTCTTCCACTTACAATATCCTCCAATGCAAATGATGAAGACTCTTTTCACGGTAATGTAATATTAACCTAATTAATTAATCAACTGATTTATAATTAATTAACTAATTGATCTAAAATTTGAAAACTCTAATTCTTTTTAGAAATGAAATCTCAAACTTTCTAAATTATTAAATATTATCAAAATAAAACTTTGAAAGATAATTGAAAAAAAAGTTTGTTTAATCGTTATTTATATTTACATTTTATTTATATTAGAAAATAAATAATACAAATTTTTATTTGCATTTATTAGAAAATAATAAATAATTAAAATAAATTGAAAATAATAATTAGTTATAATTAGTTAAATAGTTATTAGAAAGGTATAAATTGTATCATTTTCTAAATGATACAATTTATACTACAAACATACATATTATTTTATTGATTAAATTTGCGCAATGAATTAAATCTCTTTAATTAATTTGAAGTTTTTTAATCTAATTAAAGTTTGCTAATTAATCAGTTATTGAATTGCTATTTAAAAAATTTGTGGTAAAAATAATTTCATTATTTTTAAAAATTATTTTTAAATTAGTTCTATTTTTTATATTATAATTTTCTTGTTTAAAATTTTTAGGATATTTTTAACGTAAGAAATTTTTTTTGTAGATATATTAGACAGTTTAACATATCTTTGCAATTGGTTAAATTCGGCTATTGTAAGCAATGGAATTATGGATGGTACGGATAATGATGATGATGATAATAATTATATTGATAATGATTATGATGATAATTGTAGTAGTGTTGATAATTGTGATGTATTTTGCTCAATGAAAAAATTACCCGATGCTACCAGTTATTATCGGATTACTTATTTAATGGATTAAATTACTGGAAATGAAATGTTATTAGAAAAATAATTATTGCTGTATTGATGATACACGTCTATTAAAATTAAATTATATGATATCGAATTGTTATCTAAGCAAAATTATATGACTAATTACTTTAAAAGTGAAACCGGTTAGTATTATGAGAAGGAAACCGGAAACCGGTTATTATTCCCAGAAATAATTAAATTATTCTGATAATTTATTTTTCAACATTTAGCGAAAAAAATAAGGGGAAAAAACTTTTCAAATCTTCTATTTGATTAATGCAAGATAAACAACAAACTTATCACATATGCTTCCTGTAGATACGTTATCCAATTCAAAGTAGTGCTTAGTTTAATCAATCATTAATGTTTGTGATCGTTGATATGATATCATTTGCTATGATATCTTTGTTTCGTTAAGCTATTATGAGAAATCTATTATGTGAAATTGAAGCAAATAAAAAATAACGATCATTTGGAGCTTAATTATCATATGTTGTATAAAATGAAGAGAATAAAACTGCAAAATAAAGTTTGTGATCCGAATGTTATTTCAATGATTTATTTCACAATGAATATTTGGATTACATGAAATCATTCGATTGTGACATAACCCACTTTTATTGTAGCATAATTCATTTTCAATCATTTGAACTTCGTAACATGCATATTTAGGATTATATCTGCCAAATAGCTTTATTGCAAATAATAATAGTAGTTGAAAAGCATTTGTTTCAAATGTTGACATGTAAATATCCACAGTCATTCGATTGTGACATAACCCACTTATATTGTAGCATAATTCATTTTCAATCATTTGAACTTCGTAACATGCATACTTAGGATTATATCTGCCAAATAGCTTTATTACAAATAATAATAGTTGTGATAAGCAATCATTGTCAGTTGAAAAGCATTTGTTTCAATTGTTGACATGTAAATGTCATTAAAAGATGTATCAACACCACAATTGATAGATATTATTTAAAGAATTTACATAAACGTTATAAATCATCGATGAAATATTACTAAAAGAGATATCATGAGTACCACAAATAGTAGCATATTGTTTTATGGCATGCACATATTATTTAAAGAGTACCATAAATACTATCAGTGATAATAATACCATGTGAAATATAATAATCATCAACTTTCAACTTCAACTATTAAAGGTGAAGCGAAGATTGATTTCATCTCAGCATAAAAGCCATTTGGTGCAAAAATACCTTTGATGTAATTTTATTCAAAAAATTTCAATTAAAATTAAATTTTCTTTTTTTACCTTTTTAAGTTATCAAAATTTATTTCGGTGCGATTATAATAATTAATGAGTTGTAATAGTTAATTAAAGTGTCAATTGTAATAATTAATTGAATTTAAAACAAAAAAGATCTAAAACTTTCATATGTTAAAGGTTGATAATACCAATGATATTAATATTCCAATTGTAAATGAATAATTTGAATTAGATTAATCCGATGAAAAAAAAAAAGATTGTATCTGCCAAATAGCTTTGTTACAAATATTAATATCAGTGATAAGCAATCATTATCAGTTGAAAAACATTTACTTCAAATAAATCATTTCATTATATTTACTATATTGCGATCTTTTAAACGATACTTTCACAAAGTTATGATCGCACTTTTCTTTTTGTTTTCTTTTGTTTTTCTTCAGCTGTAAATAATTGCTTAGAGTAAATAAGTATAACAAAAGAAAATCAACGTACTTTAAAAAAGAAAACTTTCGAAAAAGCAATTTAAAAAAAATTTAACGTTCAAAAAAAAAAGAGTTGAAGAATTTGAAAATTGAAAATTAAGAAACAGTTGTTCACTTTTCGCAACATAAACTTATCCGTTAAATGATTTCTCTTTGATATGTGAAAGGANCAGCTGTAAATAATTGCTTAGAGTAAATAAGTATAACAAAAGAAAATCAACGTACTTTAAAAAAGAAAACTTTCGAAAAAGCAATTTAAAAAAAATTTAACGTTCAAAAAAAAAAGAGTTGAAGAATTTGAAAATTGAAAATTAAGAAACAGTTGTTCACTTTTCGCAACATAAACTTATCCGTTAAATGATTTCTCTTTGATATGTGAAAGGAAAGAGATGATAACAGGATTCTTTTGCCAGCCAAATATTTCGTAATTTTTAATTGTGAACAATTAAAATTAGAAGAATATGATTTCTTTCCAATACGTGAAAGAAAGAGGTAATGGCAGAAATTATTCTGCCAACTAAAAAATTCGTAATTTTTAATTATGAATAATTAAAATAAAAGGAATATGATTTATCTCCGGTATGTGAAAGAAAGAGATAATAACAGAAATTTTTTTGCCAACTAAATGTTTCGTAATTTTTAATTATGAATAATTAAAATAAAAGGAATATGATTTATCTCCGGTATATGAAAGAGAGAGATAATAACAGAAATTTTTTTGCCAGCCAAATATTTCGTAATTTTTAATTGTGAATAATTAAAACAAAAAGAATAGAGTGNATTATGAATAATTAAAATAAAAGGAATATGATTTATCTCCGGTATATGAAAGAGAGAGATAATAACAGAAATTTTTTTGCCAGCCAAATATTTCGTAATTTTTAATTGTGAATAATTAAAACAAAAAGAATAGAGTGATGAAATTTTTTCCACAATTACCGTGAATTTTTAAAAAAGACGAGAATTTGTCACGAAGAAATAGAAAATCTTATTGTTGAAATTGGTTAATTTCGAAATATCAAATAGATTATTTTAAAAAATTATTTTTTAAAAAAAGATATCGATAAAAAGAGTTGATATGTAGTGTAGTAAATGCATGCAAATGTTGGAAATATGATGGATAAATAAAATTAATGAATTAAAATAATAAAACGAATTATGTATGCGTGCAAACGTAGAAAATATGATAGATAAAGACAGATGGATGTAAATTTCAAATGATATAATTGATAATAATTAGGTAAGCAATTGGATGAATACTTGAAAGATATGATTGATAATAAGTTGGTATGGATGAAAAAAGTTACGGATAGATGAATAGAGTTTAATTAGTGGTAATGAAATCAGAATGAATCATGTATTTAAAAGGTATGATTGATAATACTTGGATAAAAAAATGGATACAATAGCAGGTAAAATAGAATTGAGTGAGCATGGATGAAAATAGTAAGAGACAGATTTAGCTAATTAGTGATATAGGAAATGAAACATATTTACGTGTGATATGATTAATAATGAAATAGTTAATAAGAATGAATCAGAAGATGGATACGTGACAAGACTAATAATGAAATAATAAAAATGGATACGTGATATTTTAAATAATGAAAAAAGTAATTAAGGATGAACCAGTAGATGGATACGTGACATGACTAAAAATTGAAACAGTAAAGATGGATATATGATGACTAATAATGAAATGGTAAAAATGGATACGTAACATGAATAATAATGAAATATTAGTAAATAAGAATGAATCAGAAGATGGATACGCGACAAGACTAATAATGAAATAATAAAAATGGATATGTGATATTTTAAATAATGGAAAAAGTAATTAAGGATGAATCAGACGATGGATACGTAACATGACTAATAATTGAAACAGATGGATACATGATGACTAATAATTGAATAGTAAAGATGGTGATAAATAATAAAATAGTAAATAAGAATGAATCAGAAGATGGATACGTGACAAGACTAATAATGAAATAATAAAAATGGATACGTGATATTTTAAATAATGAAAAAAGTAATTAAGGATGAACCAGTAGATGGATACGTGACATGACTAAAAATTGAAACAGATGGATACATGATGACTAATAATTGAATAGTAAAGATGGTGATAAATAATAAAATAGTAAATAAGGATGAATCAGAAGATGGATACGTGACAAGACTAATAATGAAATAGTAAAAATGGATACGTGATATGACTAATAATTGAATCAGAAGATGGATACGTGACAAGACTAATAATGAAATAGTTAAAATGGATACGTGATATGACTAATAATTGAAATAGTAAAGAATGGATATATGATATTATTGTTCTATTTTTATTCTTCCAGTTTTCTTCATTTTTTTCATCCTATTCAAAAATATTATCATTCCTCATTCTTTCTTCATTTTTTCTTTTCAAAAAATTTTCAGGAAATTCGAAGAAAATGAAAGGATAAAGAGAAAGAGAGAAGAGAGATGAAAGAAAACTTTTAAATGAATTAGCTAGAGTGTATCATCGAATTAGCTGATGTGTATCATCATCATCTGTATCATCATCATCATCTCTTGAAAATCGCTAACTCACTAAGTATTAACGCTTTTATTCATTCCAAAAAATTTTGTATATGTAAGCTCTAAGTTCGAGCTTCATCACTACATATCCTCCTCACATCATTCTTCCCATCTGCTAAAGCAACCATTGATAACATCAATCTTATATTCCTCCTCTTACTTTACACCATTTCTTACTAAACCTATCGCCATTTAATAGAGCTTAGCTGCACATTCATTCTGTGAGCAAATTATTTTTCTAAGCTTTGTTAAAGAATATTTTCCTAATTTCATTATTTCAATTTTTTTAATTAGCTAATTGAATAATTTACCAAAAATGTCAAATCGTACAACTGCTGGTGGTATTGGCTTTTCTGTTATGCAAAAGGTAAGCTTTTAAAAAGTTAATTTTTTTTTAATCAAAATTTGAAATTTAAAAAATTTTATCATTTTCAAATTTGAAATTAGTATGTTTAAAAAAACCGATAAAATGAATTTTATCAAAATTTGCAACTATTAGATCGATGCTAATTGTGTTTTGTCTTATCATTTTCAAATTTAAAATTGGTATAACAAAAAAACTGATAAAATGAATTTTATCAAAATTATCAGATCTATCAGATCGATAATATCAGATCGATGCTATTTGTATTTTCTTCTTTTTCTCTTAAATTTCTTTTTGGTTTTTTGTTGATTTTTTTAGAGTGAAAAAATAAAATGCATTAATTA